TATCTTTTCAAGATCATGATTTCATTTCCTCTAGGGTATATATCCAGAAGTGAGATTTTTGGATTATATTGTATTTCTATTTTTAATTTTTTGAAGGGCCTCCTTACTGTTTTCCATAATTGTATCAATTTGCATTCTTTCCAACAGCATACAGGGGGCTCTCTTTTCTCCACATCCTTGCCAGCATTTGTTATCTCTTGCCTTTTTGATAATAGCCTTTCTAACAGTTTTGAGGTGATACCCCATTGCATTTTTGATTTCTATTCCACTGATCATTAATGATGTTAAATACTTTTCATGTTTGTATTGGCCATTCCAATATCTTCTTTGGAAAAATATGAATCCAGATCCTTTGCTCATTTTTTAATTGGACTATTTGAGGTTTTTTTGTATTGAGAGATAATGAGTCCCTTATATTAATTTTGGATATTTACTCCTTATTAGATATGTGGTTTGCAGATATTTTCTCTCATTCCATAATTACTTATTCATTTTATTGATCATCTTTTACTGTGCACTAGCTTTTTAGTTGGATGTAGTCCTAGTTGTTTATTTTGCTTTTATTGCTTTAGATTTCATATCCAAAAATTCGTTACCAAGACCAATGTCAAGGAGCTCTTCCCCTATGTTTCCTTCTAAGAATTTTATGGTTTCTGGTATTTAAGTAATATGTAGTGTATTGTTAGTTTCAGGAGTGGTAGATTTTCCTTTTTTTTTTTTAAGATTTTATTTATTTATTCATGAGAAACAGAGAGAGAGAGAGAGAGAGAGAGAGAGAGAGAGAGAGAGAGAAGTTATGGGGCGGGGGCGGGGAATGGATGAAGCACAGCCCTGGCAAAGGCCAGCATTGGCCCTGGGACTTCTGGAGCATGGTAGCTTTCAGGAAGCTTCAACTGTAAATTTGGATCAGACTACCTAAAATTGGAGGCAGAAAAGTGTGAAACTAAGGGAGTTTTGTCTTGATGGCCTCTATTTATTATATAAACTAGGAGCAAGAGATTCTTAATGTATTTGTTAAGTACTTAAATGCAAGAGGACTTGGTGCTAAGGCCTTAGGATACAGAAACAAAACGATAGTCATGGTCCCTTGCTTTCTGATACTTACAGCTTTACCTGTTAGAATTTCTCTATAAATACAGAATTACTTACTAGAATCAGTAAGTATCAGGTACTATAGGAACACAAAATAGGGAGCCTACGGCCTCCTCAAGGAAATAGCTTAAGTTAATTCCTGAAAGTCTAGGAGTCAGCCAAGCAACAAAAAAAGATGTAAGTATGGGAATATGGAATTGAACCTGTCAGAGCAGCATGTGGAAAGGTCTGGATACTAAAAAGAGCATGGAAGGTTCTAAACAAACTTGAAAAGGAATTTCTTCAGTATAGTTGGAGCGGAAGGTACAAGAGCAAAATTGGCAAGTTTATGTGGGCTGTATAGAGGTATGTAGTAACAAAATGTCAAAAAATGTCAAAAGTAGGGTGCCTGGGTGGCTCAGTCGGTTAAATATCTGCCTTCCGCTTGGGTCATGATCTCAGAATCCTAGGATGGGAGCCTTGTGTCTCGCTCCCTGCTCAGCGAGGAATCTGCTTCTTCTCCCTCTGCCTCTCCTCCCAGCATGTGCACATGCTCGAGCTCCTGCACGCTCTCTCTCTCTGTCTCAAATAAATAAAGTCTTTTAAAAAAATGTTAAAAGCTACATTAAACTAAACTATCTGAAAGGCAATAGGAAACTAATGAAAGGTTTTACTGACAACAAGTGCTTCAGGATAATACTGAAACAATACCTGGTAAGTCATGATAACTGAGCTCTGTATAATGGTTATGTCTTCTAAGGAAAAGTCTGGTAGAGATAATTTATAATATTCAAAAAATATCTAGAAGAATGATTTGGAGAGAAAACTTGGTGATTGATTATGAAGAAGATTATTTTGAGTCAAGGATCTTCCTAAATGTATAGATTTTTGGTCAGCCAGATGGATGGTGATGCCATATTTTGAAATTGTGAAATTTGAAGACTTGGTGAAATAACTGTGTAGCTCCTGGGTTTGTGAGTATGAAGCTTAAGTGAGAGACCTGGATTGGTTAAATGGATGTAGAAGTCATCAATATATAGATAGCATTTTGAGCTGATCAGTAGTACTTCTTTCCTCAAAATACAAATCAAGATTCATATATATATATATATATATATATATATATATATATATATATATGAATTGATACTTTGTAGTTAATGTGCCTCTCCCCACTCCCTTTTGTTTCTATTTTTGGAAACAGTTCTGGGTTATTTCCTCTTCTTGCAAATGCTGCCATGTCTGTGAAGCCAACGTTGCTGAGTCTGTACGAGATATATTACTTGCCTTTGGGTAAGACCCTGAAGCCTGGTCTACAAGGACTGCTAACTGGCATTCTGCCTGGCTTAGAAGAAGGATCGGAGTACTATGAGAGGTAAGGCAGGACTGCTGGTGGTGCAGCTAAGCGATCAAAATCATGGATTTATCAGCAAGCATCCTCGGATTAATGTTTTAACGTCATAAAAACTAATTATTCTATGCATTTCAGTATATGACCTGAAGGTTTCTATAGCCAAAAAAAAAAAAAAAGTAGTATATTTAGTTTGTATATTACAATGAAAATGTAGGTAGGTAGTAGGAGCACAGACTTGAGAGGCCGAGGGACTGGGTTCAAATCCTGGTTTGGGGCAGCCCCGGTGGCGCAGCGGTTTAGCGCCGCCTGCAGCCCAGGGTGTGATCCTGGAGACCCTGGATCGAGTCCCACATCAGGCTCTCTGCATGGAGCCTGCTTCTCCCTCTGCCTGTGTCTCTGCCTCTCATTCTCTCTCTGTGTCTCTATGAATAAATAAAATCTTTAAAAAAAAAATCCTGGTTTGATAGACTGGACAGCTTAGGAACGCTTTTTCACCATTTGAGAACTTTATTCAGTTTCCTCATCTACAAAACAAACATTATACATAGTGCATTCTGTTGTAATAATCACTTAGTCCCGTGCATAGCACATTTAAGTCATGAAAAAAATTGCAACCCATAATTTAAAATAATAATCAAAATATAGGAACTTAAATTAATAAAAGAATGGGAAATTGGGCCATATGCCAACAGTTTTTAAATTATTAGTGGTGGGTCACCTGTGTGGCTCAGGTCATGATCCCAGAGTCCCAGGATCAAGCCATGCATCAGGCTCCCTGCGTCATGGGGTCCCTGCTTCTCCCTCTCCCTGTGCTGCTCTCCTTGCTTGTGGTCTCTTTCTCTGTCAAATAAATTAATTAAAAAATAATAATAAATAAGTAAATAATTAGTGGTGGAAAAGAACCTAATACCAAGTACAGTGCTGTTTTGCTAACTATTGACATGATGCTCTTGATATTTTAACTTTTTAAAGAAAATCATTTAATCTATTTTGGAGTGTGTTATTTCTTAGAAAGTTTATAGACAGGGCACGATAGCATTAACTATCTTTAATAGCTTGTTACTGATATTCCTACCAAAAAGGAAATTATAAATTCAGGTGGAAAAAAAAAACAGAAAATGCCAAGCTTATTTTATGAGTACATTTAATGATTTAAATTTAAATACTTTACTTTGGTACATTGACCAGCTACTCTCTTTTATTGTGGTTATATATTCCTGTAATATAGTAAGAATCTAATCCTGAAAATACTGGATTACCTTCCTAACCTACTTGGAGAAAATCTATTTTTTTGTCTCAAAACTTATCATTTTCTTTTGTTTCCTTACAATTTTAGAAACATGATATTTCATTTAGTGTATAAATCAGCTTTGTTTCTAATTGTTATATTCTAAGGGAAATACTTTATAAGTCTGCTAGATACAGTTAAAATTTTGACATAATGATTTTTATGAATGTAGTATCTATGGTGTATCTCATTATGTGTCTTCTATTTAAGATGCAATAACAAAATACCACAGATTGGGCAGCTTATAAACAACAAATTTGTCACAGTTCTAAAGGCTGGAAGTCCAGTATCAGTATCAGCACAGTCATGTTTTGGTGAGGGCCCTCTTCCTGGTTTCATAACTGGACTCTCCTCCCTGTGACCTCACACAGTGGAAGGGACTATGGAGTTCTGTGGGTTTTCTTTCATAGTAACACAAATCTCACTCATGAGAGTTTCACCCTCATGACTTGAGCGCCTCCCAAAGGCTCTATCTCTCCTAATGTCATCATTTTGGTGGGTTAGGGTTTTAACATGACTTTTGAGGAGACATTCAGACCATAGCATTGTGTTTTAACAGTTATTCCACACAAATTCTAATAAAGGTATTTATAAACATGTTCTTTTAAGCCATAGATACATTAAGGCCAGAAGGGAGTATAGTGTTAGGTTAGGTCACATGGCAAGTAAACAGTAGAAGCACATCATCAGGTTCTTTTGATTCTGACTCTACTGTACTACAATGTAATATATTTTTGTGTATTATGTTATTCTATGTTTGAAACAAATCAAAAGTAATTTATTTTAGAAGATAATCCTTACTAAAGCAATAATTTTGTTAGAGGTCTGATTCATCAAAGTTTAATGAATTACAGGATATGAGGGCAATCTGGCTATGACATCTGTCACCCCATAATAACTAGGGTTGATTCAGCTGACCTGGTTGAGTAGGCAGGTGTCCCCTTCCTTCACTCTTCCAGGTGTGTCCCTCCCAAAGCTGTGTGCTTGATCAGAGCAGCAACCTTCTACAATAGAGGAGGACCATTCTTTGGTCAGAGATAAATGATTAGCCTATATTCCCCTGCTAGAATCTCCAACAAACTTTTTAAATTTTGTGAATTACATAATACGATTTCAAAGAGAAGGAAACATTTGGAAAAATAACCTTTAAGAATTCATGGGGTGGGGATGGAATCACCTGGGTGGCTCATTTTGTTAAGTGCCTGACTCTTGATTTCAGCTCAGGCCCTGATCTCACAGGGTTCTGATTTCAAGGCCTACATTGGGCTCCACACTGGGCATGGAGTCTCCTTAAAAACAAAAACAAACAAACAAAAAAAACGAGAGGTGGTGCACCTGGGTGGCTCTCCACGGAAATCTTTAGTAAAAGGCGAAAGATTTATTGCACCTGGGTGGCTCACTGGGTTAAGTGTCCAACTCATGATTTCAGTTCAGGTCATGATCTCATCTCATGTCATGAAATCAAGCCCCAGATTGTTGGGCTCCTCAGGGAATCCGCTTGAGATTCTCTCTCTTCCTTTCCCTCTGCTCTTCCCCCTGTGCACATGTGAACATGTGCTTGCTCTCTCACTCTCAAATAAATAAATCTTTAAAAAAAAATTTCATAGAGGGGTACCCGGGTGGCTTAGTTGGTTAAATGTCTGACTCTTGATCTCAGTTCGTGTCTAGATCTCAGGGTCGTGAGTTAAAGCCCCATGTTGGGCTCCACACTGGGTGTAGAGCCTACTTTAAAAAAAAAAAAAGAATTTCATAGAAATTAAACAAAATATATTCTGCTGTAGGATTACTATTAGAGATGTATAGGACTTGGGGCATTTTTGTTGTTGTTATCTTCATTTTACAAATTAGGACATACAACTGAAGAAAGTTTGACTTTTCCAAATAACACAGCTAGTAAATGGGGGAACCAGGACTGAAATCTAGTCCTCTGAAGTATACACTTCTAGTTTATCACACTTGTCTCCAGGGCAAAGCACAGAACTACAGCATAAATGCTTTCATACTTTCTGGAGAAGAAGAATTTTTTTAACAATGTGAAACTAAATGCGTGTCTTCTTAAGCCACTTTGTTTTGTACCTCAGAACAAACACCTTGTTGGAAAAGGTTGCTGCTGCAGTGGACCAGTCAGCCTTCTATAGTGCCCTCTGGGGTAGTCTCCTCACCAGTCCTGCTGTACGTTTACCAGGAATCACATACGTTCTCGCCCATTTGAACAGGAAGCTTTCCATGGAAGATCAACTTTATATAATTGGCAGTGATATTGAGCTAATGGTACGTCTATATATGGTTGATCACATAACATACTTCTTTAGAGCCAGGCACACTATTCCAGACAAATAGTGAGAACTGTACCACAAACAGGGTTCCTATTTTTGTGGAGATATTTTTCATCAAGGAAACTCAAAGACCAAATTAGTCACTAATTATTGTTTTTAAAAGTTTCAAAATATTTTTTTCATGGAAATGGAATTATAGGTTATATGTTATTTCCATCGGTTATTCAAGCAAATAAATGGTCTTTATTACCATTTTGCTAACTGATAAGACCATTGTTAATATAGCCACGTTAATTATATGATTCCAAAAGAGACCTTCTACTCAGTCACAGCTCTCATAGGAAAGATGGATTTTTAACAAAGCAACAGCTGGATTCTGTAATGGGATTTGTACAAGAAGATATAGTACCAAAGGAGATGGTGCAAGATAATACCAAAAAAATTACATCAATTGCTTATACTTTTTAATTTCTAGATTAACAACAGAAGGAAACCTTTTATCTCTGTAGAGTGCTGTACTGTGAAAATTAGCAAAGTAAAAAACAAACCCTCAAAGGTCATTATGAAAAGTGTTTTTAAAAAATTGTGGTTAATCATTCTGTACTTTTTTTCTCATTTGATTATGAAATGACTGAAATTTTTATGCAGATTTTTGGTTACATTTATTAAATTATAATTAACGTATACTGAAAACATCTTGTGTGTACAGTTGTATGAATTTGACAAATGTCTACCATCAAGTAACCAATATTATGAACAAGGTAAAGACTATTTACATCACTCAAAAAAGTTCTTCTGTGCCCCTTTGTAGTTACTTCTCTTCCCCTACACTCCCAGGCCCCTACAAATACTGGTCTGATTTCTGTTCCTAAAGTGTACTTTTTCCAGAATATTAGAGAAATGGAATCATACAGTATCAGCCATTAAGTCTGGTTTCTTTCATTTTTTTTTTGCAACACATGTGAGGTTCATCCACGGGTATGCACATATCCATGATCCTTTACATTGCTGTGTAGAATCATTTTGCATGAATGCACTGCAGTTTATTTATTCATTTACCAATTAATGAACATTTGTTTCTGGTTTGAGCAATAATGAATAAAGTTGCTGTGAACAGTTGCATACAGTTGTTTGTGGAGACATATGTTTTTATTTCTTGGGGAACTAGGAATGGGATTTCTGGTTCATATAGTAAAGGTACATTTAACTTTTTTTAAATGACGGCTTTATTAAGATAAAATTCACACACCATAAAATGTATCCTTTTGAATGGTACAGTTCAGGGGTTTTTAGTATATTCACAAAGTTGTGTAGTTATCATCTAATTTTTAGAACATTTTCATCACCTTAAAAAGAAACCCCATAGTTATTAATCACACCACCTTTTTCCCTCACCTCTGCCCCTGGCAGCTGCTAATCTTTCTGTTTCTATAGATTTGCCTATTCTGGACATTTCATACAAATGCAGTTATACACTATATAGCTTTTTATGAATGACTTCTTTCACTTGTCCTAATATTTTTAATATTCATCCATATTGAAGTATGTATCAATACTTCATTCCTTTTTATGGTTGAATAATAGTGTGTAGTATAGATGATACCACAATTTACATATCTGTCAGATAGGTTTTTTGGCTATTCTGAATAATACTCTGAATACTCATGTGTAAGTTTTTGTGTCAACATAGGTGTTCACTTCATTTAGTAGTGGAATTGCTACATCATATGGTACCTCTGGGTTTAACTTTTTGAGGAATTGGCAAACTTTTCCAAAGTGACTGCACCAATTTACATTTCTGCCAGCAACATATAAGGATTCCCATTTCTCCACATCCTTTTTAACATTTGTTATTGTCTTTTTATAATAGATATCTTAGCACGTTTAAGTGTTATTTCATTGTGGTTTTGATTTGTATTTCCCTAATGTCTAATGACATTGAACATATTTTCTTCTGGTTATTGGCATCTTTATATCTTCTTCCAGGAAATGTCTCTTCAGATTCTTTGCCCATTATTTAAACTGTGTTATTCCTCTTTATTGTTGTTGTGTTGTAGGAGTTCTTTATATATTCTGGATGTTAAACCCTTGAATATATGATTTTAAAATATCTTCTCCCATTCTATGGACTATCTTCTTATTTTCTTGATACTGTCCTTTGAAGCACAAAATTTTTAATTTTGATCAAGTCTAGTTTATCTATTTTATCTTTGTGCTATTGGTATTAGATAGTATCCAAGAAATTGTGTCTAATCCAAGATCAGACATTTATTCCTGTTTCTTCTCGTATATGTTTAAGGTTATAAGAAACTGCCAAACTATTTTCCAAAATGACTATACCATTTTTATTGCAGATTTTAAAACATACTGTTACATTTCCTTTAAATGACTTAATAGAAATTTTAAACAAATCACTTTATTTCTTTAAAAATAAATGTCACAATTGGAAAACTATTTATAACATATTCCTGAGTACTATCCTCCATATTATTCAAAATATAATAATAAATATTAATAAGTAGAAAAATGGATTTGAACAGATAATTAGCCTAAAGAAAATAAAAATAACTCAAACATAAGAAAAGATGCTTAACATTGCATATGATAGAAATAAAAATTTACACCAGGATACCAATTTTCATAAATAGGATTGGCAAAAATAAAAAAAATATAGATAAATATGGAAAAACAGAAATTGTTACACATAGCTGCTGGGAATATAAATCTATATAACCTTAATGGAAAGCACTACACTATTTATATTACAAATACATACACCCAAAGACTCAGCAGTACTACTTTAGATTTATCCTACAAGCATACTTGTATATCTGTGTATTGTATATTGCAGCATTATTTAAGATAGTAAATATGTACAAATAGTATAAATATCCATCATTAGGAGCGTATTAAAAAATTAGGATTCATCTATGAAATAGAGTATTTCTTTGTCCATAAAGAAATAATGAAGCTCTTTACGTAGTGTTAAGGAAAGATCTCCAAAATATATTGTTTAAAAAAAGGCAAAATCTGAGATACATGCATGTGTGCTCCTATTTACTTAGTTTTGCAGAAAATATTCACTAGTAATGCTCGTTGCATGTAAAAAGGAAATTGAGTAGTTTGGGGACAAATATGGGAGAGAACTTTTTGCTGTATACTCTTGTGTGTGCCTTAATTTTTTCTAAACCATCATAATATATTTACCTATCAAAATAATGTAAATACATTTAATTAGCGATAAGAAAGAAGCATACAGAAGTATTTGTTGGAGAAAATGAAGCATTCTGTTTGCATGGTAAATCTTTCCCAGTGTAATAGACAATATATATTAAAGGCTCTCTTATTTCAGGTAGAAGCAGTAAGTACTTCGGTGCAGGACTCAAGTGTACTTGTGCAGAGAAGCACACTGGACCTCATACTCTTCTGTTTTCCATTCCATATGAGTCAGGTAAAACATTAATAATATTAATATGAGGAATTCTTTGGAAAATCATAGATTCCTGATGCATAGTTATTTTTTAAATTGAATTTAACTTGAATTCTTTTGTTTTATGAACTGTAAGTACAATACATAATTATGTACAATTCATGCAGGGCTTGAACTCACGACTCTGAGATCAAGACCTGAGCTGAAATTGAGAGGCAGATAATCAACTGAGCCACCCAGATGCCCTGAATAAGTTCCTTTTTTAAAGGGTAGAATTTGTCAGAATTTTGAAAAAGAAGAAAAAGGGTTATTGATTTGCATAGGAACACAGGGAATTGAAACAGATTATTTCATAGAATCTTTAAAAATTCTAACCTATTAAAAAAAAAAAAAACAAGAGATAATCATTGCTGGTTCTAAGTAAGGCAGGACTCTGAGACCCAGGCCTTCTACCAAGCTGTTACCTCTGTTCTGATGAAATTTACCTTTACTTGGTTTGACAATTTGATGATGTATGTCAGACCCTTAGCAGAGTTGGCTCTTTGAAAGCCAGATATTCAGTCACTGTGACATTCTCTAGTACTTTTTTTTATTACAGATGAAAACAGTTAACAAATCATGAGTGAAGTGTTTCATTGGCGGGACTTAATTTATTATCAGTCTCTTCATTTTTAAAGAAATGGTCTGAATTCTTTTGAGTT